TTAACAATTTACTTTTCAAAAGAGTTGCTTATATTTTTGAAATGTGTACATCAATTATAACATATGTTCACACCTTTAAATTTGAAAGTCAGAATCAAACTGCAAAAATTTAATTATATGTACTATTAAGAACACGTTTTAGTAGGGTTTTTATAATGGAAGTGGCTAGCGTACGGGCCCGTACGGCTAGCCAAAAGTTTTAGCCGTACGTGAGTCACGTACGACTAGCAAGGACACGCTGTATTGGCTAGCCGTACGGCACTTTTCAAAATTTTATGGAAGTCGAAAATGCATATGTTATTTTATGACTTTAAGCGAGGAATGTAACCAAGAAACAGCATTAATTGTCTTTGGATGTTAACTTTTTAGAGATTAAACGCCTTGATCGCTATATATATCGATCTTTGTCAACGCAAGATGTCGAGAAAAAAAATAGCCTTTGCTTGCATTTGAAAATTATATAATTATTTTTGCATTTCACGGTTTTTTTGTTTTTCTTTCATTCAATGTTCTTTTTATTTATTTATTCCACTCCGATCATTTTTTATTCGATCCATGTGCTTAAAATTAACAAAAATGATTTAATAATTCATACAAATAAAACAACAAATGATAAGCATGAAAATCAACAATTTTATAACGTTCGACTTCCATATAATTTTGAAAAGTGCCGTACGGCTAGACAATACGTACAGTGCGTCCTGGCTAGTCGTTCGTGACTCACGTACGGCTAGAACTTTTGGCTAGCCGTACGTTTCTTTATTTTTTTTATTTATTTTTTTTTTGATATTGTTACGTATTTTGAACCATAAAAAATCTCCTCTACACCTCCTGTGAAAATTAAATTGTCTGGTCATTAATATTTCCTTACGATTCAACTAGATTTATCATGAATCTAAAGATGTGGGGAAATGACATCACGCGCACCTGTTTTTGTACGGCCAATACACAAACATGGCCGCGCTTACTGATTTGTAGAAATCGGTGATTTAGCGATTTAAATTTTGTTATCATTCGTTTAATATTATTATTTGGCGGCAGAAAATTTGCAGACTTACTATTTATAGTATTCTTTTTCTGAAATCAAGTTTTTATTCTAACCTTGTCTTTCCCTTTAATTAATTAATTGTGTCTAGCTACTGATTCATAAATCAGTTTTATTTTTGCTCATTATTTTGAAAAAGTTTCCTTTGACACATTTATCCCATGTAATTTAAATATACATCATGCTAAATTTATATTTTAAAAAAACTTATAATTTCTACACAGTCATTATTTAAATATGAAAGTAACAAATTTTGTGTACAGATAGAAAAGGTGCAAAAGTATACGTTTTTAACTCTATTGCTGTCAAGTATCACATTTTGCTTTTAAAGCAGCTGGCGTCCAGAATATAACAGAAAAAAACACCGTCTTACTAATGTTTTAAAATCCCCCTTGGAAGGAATGGAAAATGAAACTTCAAAATGTTCATACTTTAACATATTGCTCTGAAAACAAACAGTTTGCTTTTCCCCCATGGGAAAATACGAAATACCTTCTTTTATTATTCTACGGAATTTTTTCGTCAGGGTCTTTTTAGTAACAAGTAATTGTGCATGACAATATCATGGTCCGGAATGCACGCATGGAAGGGTATTAACACAAAAATTACATCTTGCTTTCTTACGTTACATCGTGCTTTCTAACTTGTACATCTTGCATTCTGACTTGTATATCTTGCATTCTGACTTTTACATGTTGCTTTCTTACATGCACAATATGCTTTCTGCTGTGTGCGTCTTGCTTAATTGTATGCTAATATCGTTATAAGTCAGAATGCAAGAAGTACAAGTTAGAAAGCCCGATGTAACGTAAGATGTAATTTTTGCGTTAATATCCTTGCATACGCACGGAATACGGGATCGTATCAAACATAGAGGGAAACGAATAACTGCTTTTATTTTGTTATTTGTAGTATTTCATGGCACTCAATTATTTTTATAATTGATTAATTAAATCATATATATAATACATGATGACCGATTTGTCGATTTAAACATTAATTTGAAATATGACAGGGCCCTAATCAATGACAAAAATTGATATACGAACCTGGGCATACCGGATACAGGGAGTTTTCCGGCTACTGTTGTGACACGTGACCATGTTAAATGATTTGTATTGTCTACTGCGTAAGTAACTTAGTAGATTATTAAAAAACAAACACGATATATTGACGCTTTTTGTCAACATTCTTTCTTTAATTAAGATGTCAGTTTTATTGGAGTTATGCAATAAAATCTTACTTGACCTTACTTGTAATTTTATTTCAATTTTTCTCTTTTCATTTTACCATCTGGAGGCCAGTGGCTTTAGTCTCCACTAACAACAAAGAATATAGCGAAAACACTTTTAAAAGGGGAGTAAACTATACTGAGGAACTAACTATATTTCATGAGAAAACAAATTTACACGCCCTAGGTAAATAATGTACGAAAACATAATGTCATTAACAAACTGGCAGTTTTATAAGATAGGACCAACTCAGCTTTAGCAGTAACACGGTAGGTATGTAGCTTCCTAATCATTTTTTTTTCATTTTGTTTGTCCATTTAGATATATTCACAGAACGATGTTCCTAGATTTCAATACATTTCTACAATAATAATGTTTTCTTTAAATATTAGTATAGTATATATTTAACAAGAGTATATAAAACATCATTTGCTTTGCTATTTATACATTTTGAAGGCTTAGAAATATATGTGTTTATATTTATTGTTGCCTAGAGAATAGGGCTATATAAATCAGAAAATTGTCTTCATATTGTCAATTCTAATATCATGAATAAATTCAGATAATTGTTGCCAGCTTGAAAATAAAAGCCTTTTTTATCTTTCATGCGGTGCTCAACAACATGTTTGACACATAAAGCTTCATTTAAGTTAAGATTTATTTGGTATTAAACATTTTAAGACAACCCGTGAAGTTTCAATTTGGTTATTTGTAATAACTTAGATAAGTTGGTCAATTATGTTTAAAATTACTCTAGATGTATAAACAAAGAAAACAGAAAATACTTAATATTGAATGATGTTTATCTACAGATTTCATTTCATACGAAAATGTAATGTATAAGCATATCAAAATTGTGTTAGTTTTATGAATGATGTTTATCTATATATTTCTAACAGATAAGTATATCGTAACACGATGAATCAGTCTACCTTATTGATTGCTTTACTTTATAAGAATCAACTGATATATGTATCCGGCAATATAGGAAAATATATTTGAATGCATATATTTCAATATTTGTAAATAATGACATGATAGTTCATCATTTATTTCAAACAACAGATGTTGTATATCTTGTAAAATTTCAAAGTTGTTCGATTTCCTTTAGGCTTACGGAATGACAATGTGACTTGATACATGTGGAATTATGCCAGTTTTAGAAGAAGATTTGTAACCAACTAAGGTAATGAGAATAAGAAAAAATACTTGGTATAACAAATCTGTGTATAATGTGTTGATGATTTGAACATCGATTTTTACAACAAAACAAGTGTAACACCCGTAGAAAAAAGGAACAGAAGTAAAGGCAGGCTTTAAAACCAATGGTAAAATTTGACAAGGACAAGTTTTAAATTAGATTACTATGAGATGTCAGACATTTTTATTAGATTTCATAACACCTTATTGCAACATATGTCAGTTTTTTACGATTTCTGAACAAAATAACGGCACATTTCGTAAAGGTACAAGAGAAATGAATGTTAAACAAGAATCAGTGTGCATATAAAAATATTCATTGCAATCAATTTTGCAAAACAGCAGACGTTTTGCCCCGACTGAATTGCTACAATGTAGGTATAAACTACACAACTGAAATAATCGAGCATTAAAAGTTAGCAAAGCGAACTCTATACACAAAAAAGGTATTGCATACTGAATACTTATAGTAATAACTTCACGCCATTTTAAGGTCTATACTTGTTTGTTTTTTTAATATTTACGGGATAGACGACAACGTAATTTCCTTTTTAACTTTTTAACTCTAAATCGTCTGTTGGTTAACTTTCAGCTGGTGTTCCCTTATGCTCAATTCTTGGTCCTGTTCCTTTTCTCGTATTGAAGATATACAATCTTATATACATTTATTAGCTGAAATCTTGCTGTTGAAAATCCACAAATAGCTGCTACCATTTTACAGTCGGATATAGACAGAATTTCATTATGGGCAGATACATGGCTTTTTTCCATTTAGTCCTTATAAATCTGAGTCTATTCTTTTTGTATATTGTAAATTGTAACATACATTTTTTTTTGAGAAATAAAATACGTTTAAAGTTAGCCATTTTTACCTTACGGAAGTTTTGAATTATGGTAACAACATCAACAGCATAAAAGTAGTATTTTCATTTGCAGAAATAAAAAGAAAAATAAAGACATGCGAAAGTTAATGAAATACAGGAGAACGATCGTACATCTAAAACGGCAAAAATGAAACTGTTCGGAATTCAGTTGCATTGAGCCTGTTCATGGACAACAATGTTAAATTTTATTTAACGTCAACGTCAAATATTTGAAGTGTTATGCCACCTCTTTATTTTGGTAAATGATTGTTTATTAATACGATGTGATTGTTTGGTTTTGGATTTGGTCTTACGTACTTATAATGCATACTTAATTCCTTCAATCTTAATCGCACATTGGACAAAATACATGTGCTTTAAAAATACATTTATCCGCTTTAAACAAGAAACAGTGCATTTGTGACTTAAATAAAGCGGAGTTTGATAGGAAATTAAACGATTGCAGAGGTTTTTTCTAAATTGTCGATAGACAATATGAAATGTCCTTTGACATTTTCAGACATAATGTTTATTGATGACCTAAGTCAAAGAAATGTAGACAAAACTTTATTCTTGTTTTGTACAATGAGTATATTACTGCACTCGTAAGATTTCTTTCAGACATTTGAAATGCATTTTAATAATTATGTACTCGTGACATCAATAATTATTTGATTTGCCCACACTTCCTGCTCTTCCCTTTATGTCCTTTCCGTATCCATTTGTTTCCATTTCTGAGTTCCCTTCTGCGTGCCTTTTCTGTTCTGCTTTGATGCTGGATGCAGTTTTGCGCTGCACTTCAAGAAAGCCGCTCCGTTCTTTGTTTACAAAACTTGCTATAAAAATCAAAATCAGATAAACACAAACTGTTTAGTACTAACGCATTGTTTATAGACATTGTTTCAGGTTTTTAGTTTACAACGAACTATATAGTATATTCTTTTTACCTTGAAACTAAACATTTGAATTATGTCAGTGTCACAAAAACGTTAAAGTCTATTTCATTTAAAGTGACAACACAAGGAATGCTATCATTATTCCTATAAACACACGACGCCAGTGTTAGTGAGAATGCGTTTATTAACGGGAAACGTGAAACGTCAAACGTGGAACGTTTCCCGTTAATAAACGCATTCTCACTAACACTGGCGTCGTGTGTTTGTAATTCTCAACTATTGCGGCGTTTTAAATGTATCGTCGTGGTGCTTATAAACTGTATGAACGTTTTTAAATTTGTTATGATCATTGCATTTCCGCCCAGATAAAATATGACGTAACGCGGCGTCTTAAGCCGCGCCAAACGTCAAAAAATATCACTAAATAAGAAAACGATATTATGTGAATAAAATAAATGTAAGAAAGAGAAAAAATGTAACTATGTAACACAATATATAATGTTAATCTTAATAAATTCAAAGAAGAATTTAATACTCCCCTCCATGAAATAATTACTATTTCGTAACAATAAATAATTTATAAACAAACATACAAATACACTTTTGTTAATGATATTGTATGAATTACTATAATTTCAATAAATCAACTAACAAATTTATTTTAGGCAAAGTATCACTTATTGATATAAACTTAATTACAAGCATTTTCAATCAAAATTCAATTAATTTCCAATTAACAACACAAATATGTGTTAGATATTACATGTATATAAATCTAGCTTTCATCTTACTCTATAAACGTAAATTAACGTTTAACTTTTTTGCACTTAAACGAGATTTACTTTTAACAAAACATTGGCTAATTATTGCCATATTCTTTTCTACGTAAAGATACGTGCTCACATTAAATTTATATTGTTCTTTTTTATCATTCTGAACCTTCTAGCAAACACAGCTTTGTTACTGGTTTTACTAATTCTGAACCCCGTGCCCTAACCACACAGCTACGTACATGACCATCTCGGCTTTTTATTACTTTCATTACTTTGCCCAGAGGCCACTGTCCTCTTGGCATGTTTTCGTCTGCTACCAGCACGAGATCACCTTCGACAACGTCTCTGGTTGATTTCTGCCACTTCTGGCGGCATTGGAGAGATGGCAAATACTCGCGTGTCCAACGCCTCCAAAACACATCGGCCATATACTGAACTTGGCGCCACCAACGTTTAGCATACTGGTCTTCTTTTCGGAATACACCTGGCGGAACACTAGAGTTTTCTTTCATCAAAAGTAACATGTTTGGGGTAAGGGATGGAAGATCTCTGGGGTCGTTGCTAACTTGAGTTATTGGTCTGTCATTCATTATTTTTTCTGCTTCTGTCATCAGTGTAATAAGCTTCTCATCATTCAACAATTGTTCAGTAGAAAGTGCCTTCAGTATTGCACGTGCTGATCTAATAAGACGCTCCCAAGCGCCACCACGGTGGCTTGCGTATGGTGGATTAAATGACCATTCAATTTCTCTTTGGGTCATATAACGACTTATATTCACAAGATTCCATTCTCTTATAGATGTGCGCATTTCTCTCTCGCCTCCAACTAAATTTGTACCATTGTCACTATAAACATTCTCCGGTTTTCCTCGTCTATTTGCGAATCGCTGAAAGGCGCTTTAAAAGGAATCTGTAGTCAAACTATTAGCAACTTCAAAATGAACAGCTCTTGATATTAGACATGAAAAGATAACTCCGTACCTTTTTACAATACTACGGCCTTGCTTGACGTTCAATGGACCAATATAATCTATTCCTACAAAGGAAAACGGAGGCTTATCAGGTGTAATTTGCTGTTCCAATAGTGGCGCCATCTGTTGATAAAGAAGTGGGCTATTACGCTTCCGACATACTAGACACTGCCTTATGAAGCTCTTTACTGAGCTAGTTCCTCGTAGTATCCAATATTTTTCTCTCAGAGCCGCAAGCACTTGTTGCACTCCTGTATGTCCATTTAACTTGTGATAATGTTCAATTACAAGCTTAGTAATATGATGTTTATTTGGAAGAATAATTAGACAGTTCTCTTTTCTTGCTAGTAACTGTCTTCCCCCAACACGAATTAACCCGCCTTCTAATAATGGGTTAAGAGACACAATTTTGCTGTCGTTCTTCACTGTTTTTCCTTTGTTCAACCTATTAATTTCTGTTTGAAAATACGTACTTTGTACTTGTTGTAATATGTCCCTCGTCGCATTCCGTAGTTCTTTTACCGTAATCTCGCCACTAGGCACTTCTACATTGTGTTTTAAGTACCGATTTCTACAGAAGAATTGAAATCGTAACAGCCAGGCAAATGCACGTTGTAATTTATTCCAGCTTGAGTACCTGTTTATTACGTCATCTAACGTGATGGTTGTCACCAAACTGTTTATTGCGATTTCCTTCTTTACTTCATTGTCATCGTTGGCTATAATAGGAATTTTTACACGCGACGGCCAAACAATTGGATTCTGTTGCAGAAATTTAGGACCTTGTAGCCATTTCTGTATACTTTTAATGTCATTTGGATCTATTCCTCTTGATGCCATGTCAGCAGGATTCAAACACGAGTCCACGTGATGCCACTGCTCAGGTGTTGAGTTTTCATTAATAACACTCAACCGGTTGCCAACAAACGTTTTAAATCTTTTTGTTTTATTGTTTATATATCCTAGCAATATAGTAGAATCAGTCCAGAAAATGGTTTGATCAACCTTCAAATCTAGTTCGCTGTTCAGCATAGCTTTAATACGACAAGCAACCACCGCCCCAGATAGCTCCATACGCGGAATAGATAATTGCTTCATCGGTGCTAACCGTGCCTTTCCGGTTACGAGGGAACAGGATACTAAGTCATTTTCATCAACAATTCGCAGGTACGCGCATGCTCCGTATCCCAGCTCAGAGCCATCACAAAATATATGCAGCTGAACGTTTTTTATCTTAGCAGAATTCCTTGAACGAAAACAGCGTCGTATGGCGCTATCTGGGGATGTGGCTAACGGGAAACGTGAAACGTCAAACGTGGAACGTGGAACGTTTCCCGTTAATAAACGCATTCTCACTAACACTGGCGTCGTGTGTTTATAATTCTCAACTATTGCGGCGTTTTAAATGTATCGTCGTGGTGCTTATAAACTGTATGAACGTTTTAAAATTTGTTATGATCATTGCATTTCCGCCCAGATAAAATATGACGTAACGCGGCGTCTTAAGCCGCGCCAAACGTTAACGTTAAATTTGGTAACAAAAAATATCATTAAATAAGAAAACGATATTATGTGAATAAAATAAATGTAAGAAAGAGAAAAAATGTAACTATGTAACACAATATATAATGATAATCTTAATAAATTCAAAGAAGAATTTAATAATTCCTTTTATTGCACATTATGTTTTTAGGTTTTTGAAATACATCTGTTTTATTCCTCCTGCAATCGCAAAGAATCATTTTTGAAGCTGGTTTGCAATGATAACAAATATTCACCTTTCAATTTTCTTAACCTTACATAAAAACACAGCGTCGGTTCCATGTATTCCGTGTCGAGATCGATGCACATGAGTATTATTAAGTCGAATGTAAAATGCATTGAGGCAGTTTGCATTTGTGAAATTTCTAATTATGTTAACCGATGTTAAACGTTTTATGTCTTTTATAGCACACGTATTGAAGCATAGCTAAACTTGGTTGCTACTACGAAGTACATTTCTATTTTATCTATGCCACTATTTGTATGATTTAATCACACAACTCTCAGTTAGTTAAACCTTTTTTTGGCAAATTGATAGTACTTTCAAATCAAAAGATAATACCAAGAAAATCTTATATTAACAGGTCCATGCAAATGTTTTTTTATCCATTAATGAAATTTACATCGTATTCTGACAATTATTGAGAGGTTCAGGACAGTTTTGATTAATTCAAAATGATTTGGTTGCATTTTTTGTTAAACCAATATCATTATTGTAATTGAAATTTTGGGGTTTTTCTAGCTCGTTTAAATTGTTGAATATTTTGTTAATTCTTTGCAGTTGCTGCCATTTTCATAAGTACTTGCCTTATCATTATTTGAAACAAATTTTGAGACAAAGGTATACTTCGTAATCTGCAATCCATATTCTATGAAGATTATATAGACTATTTTATTCAAATATAAAAAAAGGAAATAAACCTGAAATAATAGCTCTTTAATAATAGTATTCTCTGATCATAAAATATTTCAAATATGTATTTCACTGTTGTCTTTTTTTCAAATTATCAGTTCATCTTAGTCATGCCTATTGTCCCCTTTTTGTTATGTCTGCCCCTTTTTCTGTAACGTAACAGAATGTGTTTGTATATGTTGATATCAATGTTGTGCTTCTTCAGATGGCATAGCATATGCTATGACCAATTAAAGAATATACATCCTACCTGTCACTTACATTTTGAAAATATTTATTCTTTTACAGAAGTAAATGTGTAAACTGCTGTTTATTAATTTGTTGTTGAACGACTTGGCAGTGAAATATATATTCTTAGAAAAGATCATTAATTTGAAAACAGGTAAGGTTATTCCTATATTTTATGTAATTTGAGGCACGACTAAGAATTGTTTCTTGTATGAAAGTAAAATTCGTTTTATTTAATAATGTAATGTCATGTTAATCTAATATTAGAATTCTAGAGATATGTAATTGACAACTTTAAGGAGCAAAGAAATTTGTCGCATGTAGATTATGCTATAAATCAGTCGAGATGTATCGCAAAAGAACAATCACATTTTTTTACTTTTTTGAAATCGGCGAAATGTACTTTAGATATATATTTTGTGTTTATTAACAACGGCACTAGGGTTGTTTTTTCAAAGCCGTGAAATTTGCTAGTGGAACGATTTCTGTTTGTATATTTTTTCTGTATAAATTACTCTTTGGCTGCAAAGTACAAAAGTCAATTGTCATTTTTAAAAATACGTTTCGACCATACATTTTCCTAACGTTAATGTAGTTGAAAAAAAATGTTATTATCTGTACTTGACAGCTAGAAACATCGGCATACTTCACTTATCTTGAAGTACTTAAAATTATAATAATTATGACATACATATTTTTAAATCATAATGTTATGATATTCTCAATAAATTTATCGGTATAGAATGTAATATTAATCGGTATTCAACTTAGAAACAATAGACAAATTTGGCCCCACAGTAAATATAAAAAGTGAATTATCAATGATTAATCCTTCATATGCGTTTTAGAATAATTATCATAAAGGTTTAGATATAAAATGTAAGGTTGGTGTTAATGATAGGAATAAGTATATTCATAGCTGAGAAAATAATATATTAATTGCTTTGGAATGCTAACTCATTGCTAATTACATATTGCTAAAACATAATATTTAAGTTTAAAAACAAGCACACGTCACAAATACGTTAATATTAAAGTAAAAAATCATTTTTTGTAATATATTCATATCTGCATATTGTAGTTGTAATTAATGAATTTAAACAAAAGACAAAAATTTCTCTTGTGAGAAAATATTTGATATAAAGTGGCTCGTGTTTTCTCTTATATAAATCTTCTCGATTGAAAACTGTTTTTTTTATGCTCAAGTACGTTGATTAAAAGTTTCTTTATTAAAAAGATCTATGATAATTTTATTCTCAATCAAATCAACAAAAATGTTCAAAAAGTTATTTCCTCCGCCTATTATTAATACTATTTTTGTTTTTAAACAATTACATTCAGATTTTCGTTGAAATGATGTTTCATTAAACATGTTTGAGTGTGACCAAAATGTTTTCTTCAAGCTACGCTCCACTCTTGATGCACTTACATAGCAGAGTATTATTGTTTTATAATTATTGTTTTAAATTGGATAACAAAACGTTCAACATGTTAATTTTCTTCTAAAGATTTAAAAAATTATAGGGGTATCGTCAATACTTTGTGAATTGATCAATCAATTAGAGATGAGCTCGAGGATAATTTACTTGATTGTCAATTACCATTCATTGCAATTTTAATTTAATTTTCAGAAGTTGAACATCTTTATATTTTCTCCGCATTGAATGAATTGCGAGTGTTTAAACAAAGAAGACTAAACCTGACTTTCAAACTAAAAGTAATTGCACATTACGGATGATTTCTGTTAATTCGTTTGAATCAAATGTCATTGTTTTGAGTTATTATCTTCCTATATTATTCTCTTTTCATATTGTGTTTCTAAACTATATATAGGCAATAACACATTCAAGAATAAAAAAATGAATGGCTGTTGAAAACAAGTCTGTTAATCGCTTTATAAACGATTGTTACAATAATCTTCCATGAACGAATTTTTATATGCAAGTATGTGATAAGCTATTATTAAATAATATGTTTGTTACATACGAGGATCAGATTTTATATACGTTTCTCTGTACCACCTCTGTTTTTAATAGTTACTTTTTGTATTTAAGGCAAATACGAAGCAAATATGTAAATGAAAACCAATATGATCCGGGCCATGACAAAACCAACATAATAGGTTTGCGACCAGCATGGATCCAGACCAACCTGCGCATCCGCGCAGTCTGATCACGATCCATGCTGTTCGCTATCATATTCTCTATTTGTAAAAGTGTTGGTAAGCGAACAGCATGGATCCTGATCAGACTGTGTGGATGCGCAGGCAGGTCTGGATCCATGCTGGTTGCAAAACCTATTATGTTGGCTTTGTCATGGCGCGGCTCATATATTGATTAAAAATTAAACATTAAAAATTTACGTTAAAATAAGCTTCAAAACTGGGTGTTAAATGCACGTTAATTTTGTATCCAGCATGCAACACTATTTAGTAGCAGGAATGTATCATCTTTTTTTTGCTCAAATTGGGTAATTTTAGCCTACATAATATAAATAAATACCACATTGATATAACTATATATCATTGAAGTTGAAGAAAATATAATTTAAAATAAACAGACTTTGATGACAATCTGGTTAGTATACTTTACTATGTATCAATGCAATATTTTCCATTTTGTATTAAAATGCTGGCAATCCTCTGATAAACCAGGAAACAGTTCGCTGTCAAATAAGTCAGAAACATTAACAATCGATCTTATTCTGTCAATTATTACCAGAATTATTTCCTTGGCACGTCTAACCTCTGCTGTTGTTATATACATTGGTAATAAAAGAAAGCCAAAAATAAATAATCAAATAGTAATTTGTTCTGCAGACAAGAAATAACTTCTATCGAATAAGTCAACATATGTGTTATTATTTCAGTAGGAAAGTTACGTTCCAGAATGAGATATTTCAGACTTTTGCCAAGTGATAAATCCCTTTTTGTTCAATTATAAATTCACATACTGACTTGTATTATAAAGATAATTGTTATTTTCCTAACACAAATGCAGTTGTAAGGTGTACTTGATGCTATGTTTATTCTGTTGCTAGTAATGAACTCGAATTATTTACATGAATATTATTTATCTAAAAATTTAAAAAAGACAAACTGAATTGCTACAATAACATGTCCCGTTTTTTGTGGGTTTGTTTTAATCGTCAACAAAATATAAATGTTTACTTAAAATGCATCTATACATAATGGCACTAATTAACAGTTGTGTTGCATATGAATTCAATTCCATGCTAACATCAAAAACATACAATAAACGAAGAACAATCCCCAATGAAATTTTTACTTTTAATTTGCAGGGGAGGAGGGGTTGGGGGTAACATGAAAGCACTGTTTAATGTGAAGGCACGGACTTATATTGACAACTAATTCAAGTAAGTGGTTAAGGGCATTTTTTCCACATGAATTACTGATACATACGATCTTGTCACTTTATCTTTCAAATAAACATCACAAGTAATTTACAGGTGTTGGATGATGCATTGCAGTTGGGTTGAGGACAGCTTCTCCCCATGTTTAGGGCAAGAAAGGATTTCATATCTTAACTCAAAACCAGAATATGCAATTGTCATTTATTTGCTCTGCTTTTTCTTGCTTGAGGGATCCTACCTTTTTAATTTTTTCTACATGTTTCAAAGGCGCAATTTATGACATTTGCTTAGATAT